TTTTTCATTACATAAAAAAGAATTTATTATTATTACATTTAAGAGCAACTTTTTGCAATTTGAGAATGTTTAACACTAGATGGCAGGATGAGACTGTAGATACCCAACTCCTCAACATTAAGTATAAAAAGGATCTGATACTTTCTCAGAGATGTTACAAAATGTTAGGCCAATGTATTGTATTATTCTTTAATATATACATTATATATAGTTCCATATTCCTTCATATTTAAAGATTTTCACTCTATACAAGGGTGATATTAAACATGAAGAAATTATTGAAGAGAAAAAGATAAATTACTAATAATTTTACAACTTATATAAATATGACAATAGCTGATAAAATAGTCTGTACTGGAAAAACATACTATTTGGCATCTTTAGAATTTAATGATTAAATTTTTAAGCAAAATATAAAGTGTGGCCATTTAATCAAGTGCTAGTTAGGTCAACATGCAAAAAGGCAATATTAACCATGGATTTTTACAATCAGGACTGATATTCAGCAAATAAGAAGCATTTCAGAATAAATTCACAATAAATACGTACCCAGGGATGAAAAGGACATCTTTTCAATGCCAACTAAAACTATCCTAGAAATAGGAAGAACTATTTTAAACTCTTCTGGGAAAGGAGATTCACTTCCCAAGATTTATTTACTCACTCTCAGTGTTTATGTACCACTTGTCAGTCAGTGTGGATAAAGTATGGCTAGGGTGACCATACGTATTTTTCATCCAAATTAGGACACTTTTGAGCATGGAAATATAAATTGGGACTTTCCTAGAAAACTGGGGCATATGATCACCCTAATTAATGGTATTCACCCTCAGGGAGTTCATTTTGTACCTTCATTTAAATGAGCATTTATTATTTTGTTGTATTTAAAAATTCATTTTTAATTTGTCCACGATATAGCTTATTTGCTAGTGCTAGCTCTTTATTTTGGCAACAAATACCCCTTTTGGAGGTAGGATACTAAAACACTCTTGGATATGTATAGGAAAATACTGAGTATCTCGGAAGATCTAAATCATCGGAACCTCACAAGAATCACTGGAAAGAACAGGCAGATATTTAGCCATTGTTTTTGACATGCTGTTTGACTTTCTTGAGGAAACACATATAAAATAATTTTTTAAATACTAAAAATAGGCTGGTAAAATAGTTTTGTTTATATGTGGACCTGATATCCCATTACATATTTCAAATTTAAGCTTTTCTGCTCTTTTCAAATTAATATTAATAGTAAATATTTTAAAAACAACATCAATGGTTTCCCTCAAGATGATAAATATCTTCACAATTAGAGTGAAGAATCAATCAGCTCTTTTGTTTTAATAATGGAAAATAGCATACTCATTTTCAATGGCCCAGCCATTAGATCTGGGTTCTTTTACTAAATGCAATTAATTTAGTAATGAAACAATTTGAAAAATGCTAAAAATTGCTAGGTAAAATAATAAAGGGTCAGGTTGACTGATATCCTTACTAGAATTTTTTGATGTAAAGATTATAAAAATTATTTGCTTCTCTTCAAATTATCTGTGCATTTTTAATAAAGCATGGAGTAAGTAGATCATTTGTTGACAGCATAAATTACCTGAGTGTAAGTAATGACTTTCAGACAGCTGAGAACACAGAGGAATTTTAGCTCACAACGTAATACCTGAAGAACTTCATAGAAATAATTTTTAAAGTTCTTTCTTGCATTGTCACCACGGATGATCTGTCTGTAATATATTTTATGTAGAAGTGTTTTGTTTGTTTTTGTGGCAAAACTATGCTCCAAGGCAGTAGCTGCACTAATTCAAAATAAGTGTTCAGTTCAGCCTGTAGAGAACTAAATTTGTCAAACCACGTTTTTGGTTGAATTTGAATTGGTCAAATGATATAAACAGTTTTCAGAGATCCTGACTTAGCCTCCTTCTGAGAGTGGGTCCAAGTGCATTTCCGATGGTAATGGGTACTCATTACTGGAGGATTAAGGCACTTGTGAGCCTTACATAAGACCATAAATGTAGGCACAATCCTGTGTATAAAATTCTTGAAATAGGCATCTTTCATTTCACATCATTCCTTCTTCTAGAAAACGTTATTGACAATACTCTGCATGGTTACATGCAGACTGTGTTGGCAGCATTAGCTGCTAACTGCAGAGAATTTGGCACTTGATTCTTCACATGCTAGTCAATCTGTGGCTGTAAACAACTAGATCACAGGACACATTTTATTTTTCCTTACAACCAGTACAGTATCTAGTTCAAAATACAGTCTTGATCACTGCTTATTAAATGATTGAAAATGTTCCCAATCTGTTGTAAAGAAAGGTTATTTAGATATATATAAAATACATAAGGGTGAATTAATGTATTGATTAATGCCACATTGACTAAGAATCACCTCAGTGATTATTGAAATTTCACTTTGTTCTACACATTTTCCCAAATATTTGTCAAAATTTTTCAGTGTATACATGAGAAGTTTACATTACCCATCTTGCCACTTATCTCTTCATACCCAGAGTGTCTCCCTGGAAGTCCTCATGCCATTTATTTCATTTGAAATTTATAAAATGTCAGCTCTTAAGGATCTGATCAATGGGATGCAGCTTGCCTGTTATTTCTAAATAGGCTTACAGATGATAGGATAAAAATTTTCCAAGAGTCTTCATGGACTATAACCAGGTGTCTGATCAATAATTTAAATATAAATGTTAAAATTGCTATTAAGCCTTCCCATTTAGTATACCACTTGATGAATAGTAAAGGAGAGAAAGCAGTGGTTTAAGAGTCTATGACAAATTCAGAGTATACATTTTTTTCATTCCCTAGATTTTACTAGTTTTAGGCAAAAGAAATCAATGACTCTTTGGGAAAAAATATATCAATACTTCTGTAAACCTATTGGGAAAAGTTTTTTTTTTTCCATAACTTAAGTTCAAAAGCTATTTATTGATCTCTTTCTAAGAGTCAAGTATTATATCAAGCATGGGAGATGAGAAGACATGAAGAATTTGCATATTAAAATCTAGTATTTGATTGTTCTGAACTTCAAGGTGGGAACACCAAGACCTAAAATTTTGTCAAAGGTCACACTACAAAGAATCAGAACCAGAACTGGAATTTTATGTCTCTTGGTCGAATCCCAGGGCTTTCCATTTCTTCCTTCAGGGTTCCCTGAGCAGTGTGCTTCCCCCACAGTAGAGGCCAGTGAAGCTTTCACCTAAATATCCATGTCAGTATTCTGAGTAAAGAGTCATTGTGGAGCCACTCATAATCTGCAATACTGACTTTTCTTCTCATGGGTTGAAGGAAATAACCCAAAATGAGGTACATCTCACCAGTCTCCTAGAACAAAGAAAAACCAAGCCCTAACTAGAAACATAATATTCTATAGCTTGGCAGTTTATCTCCTCTCATTTTCTCTCTCAAAAACTAAATAGGTATAACTCAGTTTCTTACAAGTTTTTAATTGCTAGAGATTAGTATGTGTCCTATTTTTATGTTAATTTTTATTGACCTTGACCATACTGACCTTAAAATCAGTGACTGTGTAATGGTTTGCTTCCATGGATCGAGGTAATTAAAATTCAACGGGAGTATGCTGCTACAGAAACATGATATCCTTTTAACTTGTGTTGCCTTGCCTTCCTTTGTTAGTCTACAAGGAGTGTGAGCATCTCATTTTGTTTCTGAATTGCAGTAATGAACCAATTTCTCAGTGCCCCTGATCTCAATTTACTAAAAGTTGAATGATTATCACAATATCTTGTATATTTCTAAATGTTACATAATTTATGATTCAAAGTCTTGTAGATATTAGGGACTTTAGATATTACTGGATTCATCTAGAATATTCTAGTTTACAGATAAGAAAATTGATGCCCAGATACATTAACTTTTAGTGCTGTTTAGATGTCAGCAATTACAATTATTGTTGTATCTCACACATTTACCATGTTATCAAAAGACAAGTGCTTTTCAGATTAAAGAATTTCTTCCCCTGATAATTTCCAATGATTTATTAAATACAAGTAGAAGAAAATTATGTTTTGTGGCAAAACTTTTTCTAAAAAATTAATGTTATATATTTTACATTGTTTCATAATATTATATTTATAAATTATCTGCATTTTTGTTGAGGCTATGTTGATTTATGTATAATTATGTATAAATTTCACATAGATTACTTTTTTATTTCATAGGTGATAATATAATTAAGTCAAATATTTAAAAACATGTTCAATTATTTTATATTTTTGAATATGTTCTCAAAAGGTTTTCTCTAATATATATACTTATATATATATAAGTATGTAATGAAAAATAATTCTATATATATGTATATGAATACACATCCAACACATACACAAGCAATTTTTTAATGACAAATATACACATTATCATAAGCAAAGTAAAAAAAACATTTAAAAACCTACAAGATAAAGTTTCATCATTTAATTGTGGAAAACAGATCAGGGAATAGCTCTGATTACCAGAGCTCCAAATTAATAAGAGCTGATCATAGAATTAATTATGATATACACAGTTATTATTTTCCTGTATTCATTTATGAACAAAGTTATATTCGATAAAAAAATTTCTTCAGTGCTTTGTAAAATATAATTCAACACACACACACACACACACACACACACACACACACACTCCCTTAATTCCTTTAATTCTTTGAGCAGAATATTATATTAAGATTCCCTTCAAATAACCAGCAGCTCTGTTTGGTAAGTTCTAACAGCAACTCAGTCAAGGTGAAATCCAGCCAGCTTTTGCTGTTAACAATGTATTCATACAGCATATGATCTCTGTCTGTTCAGGCTGTTTGTTGCTCTTGTCCGGGAGAGAAAGGAGTGCTGCTTTCCTGGAGAATGCCACTTGAGAAAGAAAGTAACCTAACACTGACTGCAGGCGGGGTCAGAGTGATGTAACAGGAAGCTCTGATGTCTCCCCTCTGCTGCTGAGCACATACAATGTGACAACACTTCCAATCCACTCAGAACAACCCTCTCCCTCCAGCAGAGAGTGTCACCTCCTGCTTTAGGATCATCAAGCTCTGCTGACTGGATCTCACCCTGCCTGGAGGATCATATTGCAAGAATTTCACCCTTGCCTACCTTGCCTGGGGGTAAATCTCTTCTGAGGAATCTCAGGAAATCAAATTCCATCCTAAAACTGTTTTTACTAAGAATTTCCCTAGGAGCTGTGTTGGGTAAGTGCCTTATTCAAAATAAATATATTTATTTTGAGTAGCATTCTCATGTAGCTTGGCAATGTTTCTACTATAGAATTTAGTTGGTAACACTGAAATATGTTGAAACATATTCTCATTTATTCATGTTAGAGAAACTACAGTATACTACCCCAAGATATATACAAAATCTATTACTACTAGATAATATCATATACAGTGATATTCTAGAAAATAAATTTAGCATGTAATAAAAATATAAATGGATTAAAGGGAATACTTCTGAACAAATACCTTAATGAACAATGTCTTTTAAAATGAGCTCTACTATTAGCTAAGCTTGAATTTTGACAGCTGGAAAACATTTTTCCCCCAGGAAGGGTCTTTAAACTTTCCATGTGATCAGTACTCTAAGAAAAAGGTGAAAGAGTAACTATTTCTGGGGTCTGAGTTTCACTCACTCTGTAGTTGAACACAATGGAGAATTTTAAAAAAATCGCTTTGGATTTATTGTATTTGTCTTCTTTGCCTTTTACCTCTATTTGCGCATGTATCTCTAACTACTGAACTAAAGGAATTTTCATTGTTTCATTGTTTAAGTCTCCCTTTTGCTAATCCTGAATTGTTTCCACCGTATTGGATCATGGGGTGGGCTACAAAGGAAAAAAACCAAAACAGTTAGCGTTGAGAAAACATTGGGATTTCTATACTAACTCTGATTTCAAAACTCTTTTGCTAATAGAATGTGTTACTTCAATGTTTGCTATCCATCTGCACGTTTTAGTGGGGAGGATATGATATAGGGGTAATTTGGATAATGAAAAGTAACAAAAGTTTTCCAAAAACAAAGGTTTTTAGATTATTAAGCAGAAACATGAAAGTGTGTATTTAAAAATAAGAATTTCCAGGATAAAATTTACTGAAGTGTTGAGATGAAACATCTGTTAATGCTTCTTTCAACAGCACAGACTGTCCTGGATAATTTAAGAAACTAGTGTCTACTTAATAAATTGTTGGTAAAGAGATATCACAAATTTGTTGCTAAAAATAATTAGATGTCAGATTTAGGTTGAAATTACATTGATTGACATCATTTACAATATATTATTTTACCTTAGTGAAATTATACTCTGCAAAATGTCCTTCAGTGGTGAAATCCTATACTTAATCACCCATAATCTGGCACATTAACAGCAGACTACAAACTCATTCTGAGTAACTCCTTCATAATTTTCTCCTCAATTTTTCCACAAATTACTCCAAATAATGGAAACTTCAATTAAGTCTTATTTTTGTGATTCTTTAAAAATAATGTGGCTGATTTCCTACCACCTTTCAATCACTAATTCTATTAAGTTCTCTGACACATGTGTAGAAATGGAAAAAATGTTTTTAGAATGTGACTTTGTAAATAGCCAATTAGGTAATTAGAGAAGGAAATGTTGTAGAACATGTTACATGTCTAACCCAATGCCATGGGTTGGTAGCTAAAATTAAAATAATGTATTTTTAAATTTATATGAATTTTGACAGCTGGAAAACATTTTTCCCCCAGGAAGGGTCTTTAAACTTTCCATGTGATCAGTACTCTAAGAAAAAGGTGAAAGAGTAACTATTTCTGGGGTCTGAGTTTCACTCACTCTGTAGTTGAACACAATGGAGAATTTTAAAAAAATCGCTTTGGATTTATTGTATTTGTCTTCTTTGCCTTTTACCTCTATTTGCGCATGTATCTCTAACTACTGAACTAAAGGAATTTTCATTGTTTCATTGTTTAAGTCTCCCTTTTGCTAATCCTGAATTGTTTCCACCGTATTGGATCATGGGGTGGGCTACAAAGGAAAAAAACCAAAACAGTTAGCGTTGAGAAAACATTGGGATTTCTATACTAACTCTGATTTCAAAACTCTTTTGCTAATAGAATGTGTTACTTCAATGTTTGCTATCCATCTGCACGTTTTAGTGGGGAGGATATGATATAGGGGTAATTTGGATAATGAAAAGTAACAAAAGTTTTCCAAAAACAAAGGTTTTTAGATTATTAAGCAGAAACATGAAAGTGTGTATTTAAAAATAAGAATTTCCAGGATAAAATTTACTGAAGAGTTGAGATGAAACATCTGTTAATGCTTCTTTCAACAGCACAGACTGTCCTGGATAATTTAAGAAACTAGTGTCTACTTAATAAATTGTTGGTAAAGAGATATCACAAATTTGTTGCTAAAAATAATTAGATGTCAGATTTAGGTTGAAATTACATTGATTGACATCATTTACAATATATTATTTTACCTTAGTGAAATTATACTCTGCAAAATGTCCTTCAGTGGTGAAATCCTATACTTAATCACCCATAATCTGGCACATTAACAGCAGACTACAAACTCATTCTGAGTAACTCCTTCATAATTTTCTCCTCAATTTTTCCACAAATTACTCCAAATAATGGAAACTTCAATTAAGTCTTATTTTTGTGATTCTTTAAAAATAATGTGGCTGATTTCCTACCACCTTTCAATCACTAATTCTATTAAGTTCTCTGACACATGTGTAGAAATGGAAAAAATGTTTTTAGAATGTGACTTTGTAAATAGCCAATTAGGTAATTAGAGAAGGAAATGTTGTAGAACATGTTACATGTCTAACCCAATGCCATGGGTTGGTAGCTAAAATTAAAATAATGTATTTTTAAATTTATATTATTTTCTTAGAAGGGAGGTATTATATTAAATTAATATCAAATTTTATAATAAGGAGCTCCCAAACTTCTCTTTAATTTTTTATTTAACTGCTAACTAAAACCACACAATTTTCTTGCAAAATTTAATTGAATTTTTATAACTGGACTAATAGTAGGATTCATAATCTTTATTAAAAAAATATGGTTGAAAACACTAGGAAATGAATATTGAGGGTCATTAGGCAAAGACATTATTTGAGAAGGAATTGAAAGTTTGAAATAATAATTATATTTTAGAGTTGGCTTACTTTAAAGATAAGAGAATATCAGAGCATCAATGTAGAGAATACACTTGAGATGGAAAAGCAATACACAGATAATTAAAACATTTGTCTATGTCTAGTTTTGAAGTTCTTACATGAACTATAAACATTTATAATTTCTTAGGAAAGCTCTTTTTCTACAAAAGTATTTCTATATAATGCATTGTTTAATTATTTCAATTAATCCCCTCATTTAATATAAGAAAATGTTCTGATGCAATTAGGTAGAAAATAAAAATTTACCAGAAACACAAGATCATGTCTGTATACTAACCAGATATTTCAATCATTTTCCCATTTATTTATATAGACAACCATTCCTGCCCAAATTCTTCCATCAATAGCTCTTATGACAAAGTATCTGAATAGTTTTCACACCTTATTTTTACTTTACCTACTTATAAGTTGGCTTTTAATTTTGAAGAAATAAAATCTTAACTAGTGTAAAATTGAGAACAATAGGTAAAATACATTTAATTATAAAATTTGGAATATAAATATTCAGCTAGTATAATTTTTAAAAACATGATTAGATATATGATAATTTAATCAACAAAACTATTTAAATAATAATCTTTTTTATGTATTCTATTGTCTTTACAATTTAAACAGAAAAGCCCTCAATAAATCCAGATTATCTATGTCTAATTAGGATTATAATATTGTTCACTAAATCAGATTAAATTAAATAATCTGCATTTTCCCATATTTGAGTGAACTTACAATCAATGAATTTTTTAATTTAATAAGTTATTTTTACAAAAAGAGAAATTAATTATTAAAGATACAATAGAAGTCTTATTATTAGAAATAAAACAGAATCACTGACTGTGAACGAGTTACGGTCTAAGTCTATATTTGTTAGTTTACAAGTATTATTTTTTGCTGTTATTGATAATCTTTTTATATGTTTGTTGACCATTCATAGATTTTTTTTTTTTTTTTTAGGAGAGCAAGTGAGAGGCTTTTATTTAGAGATAAAGCGAGAGGACAGAGCTCCTGGCTAATGCCAGGAGGGGACAAGAGAGTCCTAGCTTACAAGTATTATTATCAGATGATAAGTTGCAAATATTTTCCTAGAACCTGTTTCTTCCTTTTTCTTTTACATTAGTTTGTTTACTTAAAATATGGTATTCAAACCTAACATGTCAGTATATTATTGTTTGCAAAAATGGTCAAAATAGTGTATTAATGTTTTTAAATGTAAAATAATTTTTGTCTTTTTATTCCTTCATGGTTTTAATTAAATGTATGATGTTTTCTACCTTACTACTAATTAATAAGACAAAAAATCTCAACTCAACCCAACATAAATCTAAATAAATAAATAAGCCCACCCCTAGGGTATTGAGACTATATCTCTATACTTTATTGAACTTGATGTATGGAGTTCAATTTTCAGAGAAATTTTTATTCCTCTTAACATGGAACATATTTTTTTATTAAAAATGACAATATGGCATAAGCTTTTGTATAAATTTGTCATTATTTTCTACCCAAGTTTAGGTTAACCTGAGCTCAACTGTGTTTCTCATAAAACTATAGTGTCTCCTGAGTATGTCATTTGGTATAAAAAATAGCAGTGATATAGTAAAATAGCAACTAGCTTGTTTATAAGGGTGCCCGTCTCTTTACATCTTTGTTGTAGGGAGGATATTAGCATATTCATGAGCACACAAATGTGATTTTATCAATCAAAACTAGGATAAATTTGTTCTTATAGCCAAGTACTGATTTTATAAATTTTACAAATGATTATTAATATAAACCTATATCATTTAATTAACCTGAGGCCAATTATGCATATATTTTGTACATGAGCTTCAATTTTGTCTGCTTTCTCACAATAATTTAAAAGGAAAATCAGTTTTGATAAGTATTAGAAAAGAATAAATGTTAATATATTTATGTATAAATATATATGAAATCATCAATACAAAATTGTGTTTTTTTTGTTCAATTCTGTAGTTACTCTCAAATGTAAGACAAAATAGGAGACTTCTTTACTCCTTTACTTA